ACTGTTATTTGAGTAATGATAGGTTTCGGCCATCACATTGTGTTGGTACTCAGACTACATTTCTGCAGTCAGGAACTGAACTGCTCTAACAGCTCACCATGACCAAATGAGGGATCCTGGCCACGTTCCCCTTTCCCTGTTTCTCTCTTTTTCCCCCAGCTTCTGCTCCTGCTCCTATTTTTTATTTCTCCTGATTTAGCAGCAATGACCCTTCAACAAGCACATTCAAATCCTACACAAGAGAGGGGGGGAAAAAAAAACCAAAACACAAGAAAACCAATACCACACATCTGAAAGCATATTCATCTCCAAATTTTGTGGGTTGTATAGTCACATTCCCTTGATACATAGTTGCTTTCACAGAGATCTTGTGTGTCTGGTAGCAAGAGATAACACCCAGTTACTTCTCTTTTAATTTAGAGCCAGCATGAAGAGCCAACGCTAAGCCCAAACAGGCTCAAAATTCTTCAACAGTATTGTAGTGCCCCAACAAAATGACTGTAAAAATAAATCCTGACATTTCTCCTATACATTGAAAATTAGTTTGCTAATGTACTCCATTTAAGTCAATATTAAATTACAACTGAGTGATAAAAAGATATGCATAAATCAAAGAACTCCATTGCTCCAATGCTTCTATTTAACGCTATAACAAAGCAGTATTTACATCAGAAATTTTATTTGGTCAAATTTTATTACTATTTACATTACCCATGTTACTAAAAGAAACAAGGCACAAATATAACTCAGTTTACTTTCTTAACACAGCAATGTATGATTAATTAAAAATCCACCCAGGAATGATTTCTGAAAAGCTGGGAATACAGACTTCAGTGGTTGTCTGGGAGAAAGACTGTCATGTTTCATAGTTTAACCTTCTGTTCCTCACAGCATGACCCTCATCAGATAAGGTTAAATAATATTTATTCAATAAAGCAAGCATAAGGAGGTAGAACAGAGAGCTTGACTTCATGATGAGCAGCAGGAAGGCTATTCATATGTCCAGTACCGACAGTCAAGGAAAGTTAATTATTAAAATATTAAGAAAGATTTCAGTTTAACCAGTTTCAGACAGCTTGGTTATTTTTTTCAACATGTGGCGATTATTTGATTTCACATAACATTTGTTCCTTTTTTTGCTAATACTGATGAGTATTTTGGCCTTATGGAGGAGTACACTTGATATTTAGACATTATATACTATGAATTATGAATATGTAAATTAGATCATAAAAAAAACAACCTCCAGGAAGCTACTGACCAACACTATAACCCCTGTCTTCAGCAAGAAACCACAGAAGTCTTTTGCATAGGAATTTTTATTTCTATCTAATGAATATACCATATTTAATGTATTTGTATTACTGTTCAAACATGTGCTATTTACAGACATAAGATTAACAGAGCAGTACCATAAGGTCAGATGTAGGAAGATGTAAAGATGTTCTTTGTTTTCAGGTTTTGAGCACTTCTGTCAGGAGAAACAGCATTGTTTAAAGTAAGCACAAAGTCACCTCTATACAAAAATTACATAGCCATGTATTTCTGAACCTAGAAATTCTGTATTTGTCAATGCTGACTTTGTATGACAGACAACTTTTCAAGACTTTAATTCCAAAATTATAAATCTAAAAGCAGAAAACACTGTCCAGACAAATGTTTTCCTAAAAGTAAGTATCTTCTCACTAACTAGTGTTCAAAACATTTTTCCTTTAATAGCCAATTTTCAGTTTCCCCAGAGTAACAAAAGAAGGGGAACTGAAATGGAATAGTATTAAGTCTGAGGATGGGGGTCACTCCTGAAAGCAGGAGTTACAGAATAAACTGCAAATGAGAAAAAATAAAACACTTTCCCATTCAGTCCTGTTATCCCCCCAAGTCTTAATTCCACTATTTGCACTTCCCTACTATGGAAGTAATTTGGCTCATTCTTCTACTAACAGTCCCCAGGCTGTCATGCCAGAAATGGATTTCTGTGTGTGCATCTCAGGAAAGCAACCTGCTGAGCGCTGCTCTTGCAGATTTTGTTGATGAAATTTCCCTTAAATATTTTTTTTCCAATTGCTGCTTAATAACATAAACTACTTTCTTCATGTTAAAGTCCTAAACATATACCACTAAGTCAAGAGTAGCTAAATGGTACTTTAAGTAGTTCCAGCATACTGAAGCTAAATAAAAATTCTTAGAGGTTAGAAAACTACAAACTGATTTTTGTTGAAAAATCTACATTATGTCAGCCTGAAACTAGTATGACTTTAAACATGGATTCCAAAAAAAAAGAAGATTAAAATCTAGCAAGATTTTCAAATAAACAGAAAATAGTATTTCCTGATGTTTTTAAGCATTCTCAAGGCCTAAAAAAACAAGATCTCAGCTGAACTGTGGGTGTCCAGCGGCAGTTACAACTGGATTTCCATCAACTGCTTTGGGGATTGTCCTGGGTTTTATTTCATCTTCCCAAAGGTTCTAGTGTAAGCAAAAAATCTAGACTACGTGGAAATATTTTAAAGAATTACTCATCCAACCACCCAAGTTAAATTCTCTGATTTTATTTCCCTGTCCATAGCTTTCAGAGAAAAAAAAACCTTTATGTAGGATTCACAAGACAGAATCGAAACACTCTCCAACACTGCATGTTCAAGCATCAATCGTGCACACATGCTTAACTTTAAGCAGCAGAATAAGCACACAATAAAGACTGGGGTATAAACTAGTGTTTTGACTGGGGTATAAACTAGTGTTTTATTAGAATTCAGCTCTAGTTACTCAGTTTCCACATACTGTACTCTCTGAGTAGGTATATGGAAGTTAACCAAACACCACTGCCTGACCATATGCCAGCAAACACACGTCCAGGTGACTGCATAAAAAGAATGGGAACAATTTCCAAAGCTACAAAGCTGAGAACTCACACTCAGTTAGAAACATGTCTGACTTGGCCTTCAGAGCTACTAACAACATCCCCTCTCCTCTGGAGCTGACAGGTGGGTCAGAAGGCTTCTGAAAAGTTTAATAAATACAGACTTCCAGTCTAAACACAGTTTGGCATGAATAGAGTCCTGTCCTGTAGTGTAAGAGCTGAGAATGACAGACAGCCTTGGAGTCTGTATGTTCTGCCTCTCTTGTTTTCAGTAAAAAACAGCTCCAAGGTGGTTACCATGCCCCTTGGTACCATGCCTTCAATCCCTTTAACCAGTACAGAAGACACTCAAGACCCGTGGCATTTCTCATTCAACTGAAAACAAAGAATCTGATTTTATCAAAATTAATTCCGGAGCTTCACAGAAAGAAGCAATTGTTTCTCTGACTGACTCTATTTTAGTTAGTACATTTTTTCTTCCCCTAAGGCTGTTTGGATGCTGGATTGCAGCATCTCTCCACTGTCAATGTTACAAAAGAATGTCTAATTAGACAGAGTACTGAAAACAGAGCAGCAGCATGACCATCTCAACTTCACAACAAAATAGAAGAGATCTAAAATAGGGAAAAATACAGTGTTGTACTCAGGTTTAGAATAGTGCACTTGGGCAGCTTGAGAAATGCTGCAGTCTGGACCATGCCAGTTTCAGACTGCATCATTACTGACCTCATACAGTTAGGCTGCACTAGGAGTTGGACATGAGAGCTGTGTCCTTCAGGAGCTATAACTATCAGATGGCTTCAGGTTTCTAGTCCATACCTACAGAGCTATTGTCCAAATAAGTTTTTACCCTAAAGACAGTGGCATATCACATAAAAAAAGGAAACTCTGCAAACTTGCCTTTTATCTCATCTAAAAAGTGCAGTTTAAAAATAAATATGCATCTTGCATTATTGTTTAATAATCTATAGTAAAAAGCAAAGTTTTTTTCAAATAGATTATTTGATACCTTTAATAATTAATTGGTCATGTTTGAATACTAATTAAGAGATGAGAACAACATTGATATAAGGTCACAGACCATAAAGAGACAGCAGAGCTCTCGAGGGGTCTCCCCTCAGGTCCCTATTAGAATCAGCAATACCTACTTACCATTCCTGACAAGCAGCTGTTTAGCACATTCACATAGACTTCCATCATGGAAATTCTAAACATTATCCAGTCAGTATGATCTATTCTTTACATCCTTACTGTTTTTCTAACATCAAACCTAAGTATCCCCTTGCCCCAGTTTAAAATCCATTTTTTCTCATCTACTCCACCACAGACAGAAAGAATAGCCTTCTCTTTAACATTCATAAGTATTTGGAGATTGTATCTGGCCCTGCCCCCCCCCCCGCTCCAGTCTTCTAATCTTTAGAGTAAACAACCTGAATTAATTCAAACTTCCCACAGAGGTAAGATTTTTAAACCTCTTGAGAATAATTACTGCTGCCCTCCATTTCTCTCCAAATTGTCCCCTACTTTTCCAAACAGCAGTGCAAAAACCTAACATAAATATTCCAGCTGAGTCCTCACCACTGCTGAGTAGGAGGGAAGGTGTGTAGGCTGCAAGCCTTCTTAGACATGTCAATGTCTATGACGAGTGAACCATTCACAAGAGCACAACAGGAAAGTTCAGCCGTTTCTGGCTCCAATCTCTAGCAATTTAAATTTAGCAACAGTGTGCGCTTTGGGTCCAACTTCAGTTTCTGACATCTCTATCTCTGTAAGAGAAAGAGCTACCTATGAGCAACTGGATGCTTCTGCTAATGACTCCTTCCGTGAGTGCTGCTCCCACTGATGGGAGCTCTTCTTCCCCTTTGTCTTGCATGACAAAAATGCTCCAAAGCTTGAGTAAGCTGACATAGACCTATTTGTGACCTACAACACCCCATGCAATTACTCAGCTAATTAACCACGATGAACAAGTCTCTTTAAACCATGTATATAGCTACATAAATAAAACCACCCCCAAAAAATGCCACACAAAAGAAAAGCCACATTATTTGAGGAACTTTATTTAGATTGAATAGATTTATGCATCTTACTCTGTTTTCTACATTTAAGTATACAAAATCTGAATATTTCTAGTGCTTACCTTTCTGTGTTCAATGGAAGGCTGTGGGATGACAAACTGAAATCCCAGCACTGCTAGGGAACTGAGAAGTCTGAAAAAGCAAATAGTAAAACAGAAGATAGAATCAACACTTAGAGAAACCACACATCTACAACCTATTACAGGGCTTCATACTGCAAGAACTTACTGAGACACTTGAAAACTATTACTAACCGAAGCAGACTCACTAAACTGTATGAAACGTTCTTATGACATTCTTTTCACAGCAGGCAGTACCAGGTACACACATATAGCTGTCTGTCTCTAAAGCAAAAGTGCATCAAGTAGAATCCACTGACAGTATTTCACATAACTTTATGTTTAAATGAAAATATTTTTGGCAGTGCATATTTTAACACCTCTGCATCTGGTGTCAAACTGACACACGCTTTGCAAAGCAGTAAATAAGAATTCACCCATCTGTGGGCTAAATCTGCTTCTTGCTCTGGCTCCTCATTTTGCAGATGAACACTCCACCTCCAGCACACAGGAAACATGCAAAGAATCACCATGATTTTGCAGAAAATAGGTTCTTCTCCAACTGCCTAACACTTTAGAAATTGAATAACTTAATGGGCACAGAAGATGGAAAGTAGCAGACACAGCTCACCAGAGACTCAGGATAAGCAACCAAGCATCACTCCAGTCCCCACTTCTTCAATCTGAAAGGAGTCATAATGGGAACCAAGCCCAAACAAACTTTGTTCTGTCAAGCCTCACCACCATAATGACTCCTAGGAGCCCATTACAAGTTCGGCTCAGTTAGCTTGGTCTTTTGTTTGCTATATTTTGCACTGGGGACCGGTTTGCCCCCTTCCAGCAAGTCTCTTCATCAGAAAGCACAGAAAGGTATGAGAAGTAGGATTAAGACATCTTTATTTCTACTAGGAGTTTGACTTTTCAGTCTGCAAAGAGCTTGCTTCGGACCATCTATAAAGAGGAAAGCTGTTAATGATTTGCTCAGTTGCAATGCAGAAGTAAAACCGATAGTTTCGGACACAAAATCCATCTGCAAACTAATGGACCAGACAAAATCCAGCTGTGCTTCTTACTCACAGCTCCTTCCTTTGCTCCCTATACAGTAACCCTTTAAACATTTCTATTTTTTTCAGGTATTTTCAGAGACAGATCTCCTAAACAGGAAGGGGTTTTTATACTAAGAATTTTACTATTTCATTACCACCAATACAAATTTTCTTCTACTAGGGAGAATGTTTTTCTGCAGTTTTCTAGGGATCCTTAGGTAAGTATTGATTGCACATGGCCTATCATCACCTCATCACCAGTCTATGCCCTTATCTCTCAAAGCAGTAAACCAAAGGCAAGAAAAAGTCATTACTTCCTTACTTTGACATCAATTTAGAAAAAAAAAAACAAAACAATGAAAAGTCTTCAAAAGTCTGTTAGAAGGAAGTATTATATCTCACAAAGCTATCAGAGGCCCAGTTTAAATGCCTCTGTGCAAATGCACGTAGGACAGGGAATAAACAAGAGGGGTTAGAGACGCATGCATGCCTGCGGGGCTGTGATCTTACCGGCATCACGAAGATGTGGTGGGATGGCTCCTGTGACTGGAGTGCTGGAATGGAAGGGAACAGGCTCTCTAGGAAGGACAGGCAGGGGAGATGAGGTGCCGGGTCACCTTCTATGTCAGTGACCAGCCGGAATGCCCGGGGCCCTGCCTGGGGCTGGGTGAGGAGCCGACCGAGAGCTCACGGGTCAGGATTAAAGGGAAGGCAGGGACAGGAGACGTTATAGTGGGAATCTGCTGCAGGCCACCCGACCAGGAACACCGAGCAGGCAAGGGCCTCTATAGACAGACAGGCGCAGCCTCGGGTTCCCAAGCCCTGGCCCTCGGGGGGCACTTCAACCACCTGGTATCTGCTGGAGGGACAACACTGCAGGGCATAAGCAATCCAGGAGGTTCCTGGAAGGTCTTGATGTTAACTTCCTCCTTCAAGTGACAGAGGAACCAGCGAGGAGAGGTGCTGTGCTGGACCTTGTTCTCATTGACCAGGAGGGGCTGGTAGGTAGTGTAAAGCTCAAGGGCAGCCTTAGCTGCAGTGACCATAAAATAGTGGAGTTCAAGATCCTTAGAGAAGCAAAGAGCTTACTACCCTGGACTTCAGGAGAGCACACTTTGGCCTCTTCAGGGATCTCCTTGGCAGAGTAGCATGGGATAAAGCCCTGGAGGGAAGAAGGGCTCAAAAAAGCTGGTTAATATTCAAGGATCACTTCCTCCAAGATCAGGAATGATGCATCCCAACAAAGAAGTAGTCAAGTAAAAACACCAGGAGGCCTGCGTGGATGGACAAGGAGCTCAGGGACAAGCTCAAACATAAAAAGGAAGCCTACAGGGGGTGAGAGCATGGACAGGTAGCCTGGGAAGAATACAGAGAAATTATCCAAGCAGCCAGGGATCAGGTTGAGAAGGCCAAAACCCTGACAGAGTTAAATCTGGCCAGGGACACTAAAGACAACAAGAATATCTTCTATAGTACATAGACAATAAAAGGAAGACTAGGGAAAATGTGGGCCCTTTCTGGAAGGAAAAGGCAGATGTGGTCACTGAGGATATGGAGAAGGCTGAGGTAGCCAATGACTTTTTTGCCTCAGTCATCACTGGCAAGAGCTCCAGCCATACCACCCAAGATACAGAGGGCAGAGGTGGGGACTGGGAGAAGGGAGAACCTCACACTGTAGGAGAAGATTAAGTCTGAGACCATCTAAGGAACCTCAACATGCACAAGTCCATGGGGCCTGATGAGATGCATCCACGGGTCCTGAGGGAACTGGCAGACAACGTGTGTAAGCCACTATCCTTCATATTTGAGAAGCCATGGCAGTCCAATGAAGTTCCCACTGACTGGAACCCATTTTTAAAAAGGGAAAAAAGGAAGCCCCTGGAAACTACAGGCCAGTCAGTCTCACCTCTATGCCTGTCAAGATCATGGAATAAATCCTTCTGGAAGCTATGCTAGGGCACAAGGAAAACAAGGAGGTGATTGGTGACAACCAACATGGTTTCACTAAGGGCAGATCACGTCTGACAAATTTGGTGGCCTTCTACAACTGGGTTACAGAATTGGTGAATAAGGGAAGCGCAACTAATGTCATCCACCTGGATTTATGCAAAACATCTGACACTGTCCCACATGACATCCTTGTCTATAAATTGGAGATGTGGATTTGACAAATGGAGCACTCAGTGGATAAGAAATTGGCTGTATGGTCTCACTCAAAGAGTCGCAGTCAACAGCTCGATGTCCAAGTGGAGAGCAGTGACAGGTGCCCCTCCTCAGGGCTTGGGACCGGCACTGTTTAACATCTTTGTTGGGAACATGGACAGTGGGATCAAGGCACCCTCAGCGAGTTCACCAAAAGCTGTGTGGTGGAGTCGACACACTGGAGGGAAGGGATGTGTGATCCACAGGGACCTGGACAGGCTGGAGAGGTGGGATCATGAAAACCTCCTGAAGGTCAACAAGGCCAAGTGCAAGGTCCTGCCCATGGGTCAGGGCAATCCCAAGCACAAATACAGGCTGGGTGAGGAGTGGATTGAGAGCAGCCCTGCCAAGAAGGACTTGGGAGAGTCAGTGGATGGAAAACTGACTGAGAGCCAGCAATGTGCGCTCACAGCCCAGAAAGCCAACGGTATCCTGGGCTGCATCAAGAGCAGTGTGGCCAGCAGGTACAGGGAGGGGATTCTCCCCCTCTACTCCACTCTCTTGCAGTACTGGATCCAGCTCTGGGGTCCCCAACATAAAAAAGGAAATAGACCTGTTTGAGCAGGTTCAGAGGAGGCCACAAAGATAATCAGGGGCCTGGAGCACCTCTCCTGTGAGGTAAGGCTGAGAGAGTTGGGGGGTTCAGCTGGAGAAGAGAAGGCTCTGGGGAGACCTTAGAGCGGCCTCCCAGGGCTGAAAAGGGCTACAGGAAAGGGGGGAGGGACTCTTGATCAGGGGGTGTAGGGGTAGGACAAGGGGTAACAGTTTTAAACTGAAAGAAGGGAGATTTAGATTAGATCTAAGGAAGAAAACCTTCACTGTGATGGTGTTGAGACTCTAGCACAGGTTGCCCAGAGGAGCTGTGGCTGCCCCCTTCCTGGCAGGGTTCAAGGCCAGGTTGGACGGGGCTTTGGGCAACCTGGGCTAGTGGAAGGTGTCCCTGCCCGGGGCAGGGGAGTGGGACTGGATGGGCTTTAAGGTCCCTTCCAACCCAAACCATTCTGTGATTCTGATTTGTGATAAAGCAAAATACAGAGGAGGTGGCTAAAATCAGAGCCAGTGTAAGGCACTATAAAGAAACCACAGTAAGTCAAAATGTTCAGTTCAGAGCAAGGCCAAATAACACAGTGGTGGATGAAAGCCAAAGGCACGAATGAAGAAAATGATTTGCCAATCTCACTTGAAATCAAAGGTAGAAATAGAAACAGAACTCAGACCCCCAGACTGCAAAATGACAGTATCAAGTCTGTCTTTAGCTGACCTGCATATCCCTTTTTCAAGGGCTGAAGTGATCTCCTAACTATTCCCAATCAAAACATGACAAACTTCTAAGTAGGCAGAGCACAGTCTGAGAGGCCCAGCCTACATCCTCTGCAAATCATATTTAACTTCCTTTTCAGAATCTTCCTACCCACTCCCTGATCCCTTATGGCTTCTGCTCCCTATAATCCCTCAGTGCATGTGAAAGAAAGTTCAAACTTTGCATAGTGAAATGAATGCTTTCATCCTCAACAGGACAGGATTTTTCTGATCAGTCTGAAGGACTACAGATTTCCATGTGTAAATTCCTCTGAAATCATGCACAAGGTTGGGAGTTCTGAACTGAGTGAGAACTGTAATCTTCAAAGCAAATTACTTAGCAGATTAAAGTTTTCAGTTCTAAAATGCAAACTTTTAGTATATGCATGCCGACTCCGTGCCAAGCTTTTCCTGATCATTCTTTAATGAGGCTGCACTGTAATCACCATCTGTATGTAAGTGCGTAAGGACAATGAAGATAGTTTTTAAGTTCATTATCTGCAATTGGATCGCTCAAACAATGGTATCAACCTACTACTTCAAACACAAATGAAATCTGTCAAGAATACTTAAGCTATCCTGAGGTAAGCCTCCCAGCTTCAAATCAGCGTGTGGCAATCTTAGTTTTCTTAATGTTATTTCCCTCAGTAGCTTGCTTTGGCTAACTTCTCTGGACTAGGCTTTTTTATTTGTCATGCTTGACTAATGTTAGGCCTCCCAAGCTACAAAAATAGGCTTCTCCAATTTCAGTGGGTTTGTTTCAGGTATTCTTACTGTGCGGAAAAGCCAAAAAGAACAAGTGCTCCTCAAAATAAAACAAAACTTTTCAAGTATACGTGAACAGATCAGGTACCAATTGCAGTGATTGGTGATTGTTGCGAGTACAGTCCATGCTTTCAACATTATAGCACTATTTGGAGCCAGGTACCTCATTTAAAGCAAAGTAAAGCTTTAAAGTGTCAGTCTATCCATGCTGCAAAGAGCAAACACGCTCACTTTCTTTTACTGGCAAGCAATACCAATTTCTGTTTAAGAAGGGGCAGGGGGTGGGGGGGTGGAAATGCAGAGAAAATGAAGTAGTATTAGCTTTATTGTAGGAGTAGCAGGAAAAAGTTAGCTATTTAACACCTCATTCAGGACCACCTCTCAGAGTTCTTCCTCTGTCATTGCAGAGTATTAGCTCTCCATGAAGCTGGAAGGTAGCAAAATCACTTTCTTGCATGATTGCTGTCCCTTAGTAGTTATATTTTATGAAGGGCTCTTGTGGCCAACTGTGGATTGTCCAGATAGGAGTGAAAGTATTTTAACCAAGTGATTAACCAAGTGATGGCTCTTGTCTCACATTCCCAACTTCCTCCCAAATGAAAGTCAGTAGAACAGCCTATGTCTGGGAAAGCCTGGGAGGAGCTATGCAGGGAGAAGTTTCAACAGGAAAGATAACACAGACAGTGTCAATAATATCTGACAGATCCATTTTGATGTGGAATCTGCCCTGGTATACTACGAGGGTTCCAGAACTGCAATTCAAAGGCTGACATCTGAAATTCACAAGAAGACAGTATCTCCATACATCTCCATATCAGTGAAAGAATATGCAGACGTCATTCCTTGCAGGAGGTCAACTTTTGTTTTTGTAGCATCACAGCTGCCTGTTTTCTCTGAATCTGCTTGCCCAACTACAAAACTGGACAGACCAGCTTAGAAACAGTTGTATGTTTTGTTTGTCAGGAAGGTCTTTCCTCTGTTTGCCCACTGGCAGACTGTTTCAGGAATGCATAATATAAATCCCTGAAGGAATTGCAGCATGGGTACTAAAACATGTAAATCAATAATCTAAGCCCAGTGACTAGTTGTACCGAAAAAAAAAAAAAAAAAAAAAAAAAAAAAAAAGGAACTGGTCAATAATATATGCCACCACAGTGGTGCTCTAAGTGTAAACAAACACTGAGAACTTTCTTTCTTTTTTTACTGTCACCAAAGAATGCTATTATCTGGTATGCATGTACTTGATTATTTGGTCTTTACACAAGATGTTTATTTATTCTCCTATGATACAAACAATTTTAACACCAAAGCAAGAGACAACCAAACTGGTATTTACTACAGTGTGTTAAGAGCATATTAATAAGATTTTAAATGCTTTATTGCATCACTTACCTCAAAGAAACTATCAAACTGTCTACCATGATCCTTTAATGTAAGGTGTCTTGAACTGAAAAATACCTCTTCACTGTGGTACAGCACAATGCTGATCACACACAAATCCTACAGAAAGAAAAGAGAAAAACATTTAACACTGCCTATTCAGTATTTTCCAGGATGTCAATGAAATTGGATACAGACCTGCATTAGTCATCTCTACCTCAATTCTTGAGACTTTACAGAAATTCAAACTGGAAATCCAGTTTATATTACATGAATAGACTGGACACACCCCATTTTTTGCAACAGAATTTCAACAGTGCCAAAGTGCTTTGTTGAAAGGCCATAGGATGTAAAATCTTGATTTTATTTCCAAGGATGCAAACCTGACATTAAACTTATTTGCCTTTTTATCTCGCATTCCTGGTATGTCACCTGTATGACAATAAAGCAAACAGCTTTATTTAAAGTCTTGTGTTAATAGAATTCATAGAACTGAAACTGAGTTACCAATTTCTATTGTATAGTAGTATTATTAATACACTCTCCATTTTGTGAGCAATGCAAGGATGATTCTGTTGCGAGTGCTCATACAGCCTGCAGAAGACAGGAGCAGTGTTGTTCCCTCTCTATTATAGATTGGAAACTCAGACACAATGAAGTTAAATGCCTTGCCCACAGTTATGGAGAAAATCTGGGGTTAAACAGCATTCTGAATACAAATTCAACTGATCCTTATTTCCAAGTACTACCATTACATCATGACAACTGCAAATGCATAGAAGCCCTACCAGCCCTTGAGAGGGGTATTACCTAGGCACTCTCTCCTTTGTTTAGAAATACTCTTAAACATTCAGATACCTGAGGAGCTCTTATTCTGGTAAATTTTTAATCATATATCAGACAGCTAAAAATGCTGCACTGGAATTCTCAGACAGAAAAAAGATCCTTGCAGTAAGGAAATACAATATAAATCGAAGGGGGCAGGGGAGGGGGTGAGGTGGGTGACAGGAGGGAGAATAAGGGGAAATAAATCAGTTAGGACTGAACCTAAATCCATACATTTCAGAACTTGGTCAACCATTGTCTGTATCTTGCCATTTACAAGTGGTTGCATGTTGAAATGCAGTGGAGTGAACAAAAACAAGAGAACATTGCTGTTCATAGATAAAGAGCTCTCAATTTCTGTCAGCCAGCCAGATAATTAAAATCTGCCTGCCTAGAAATGGACAACACAAACTAAACTAACGTGCAGTTAAATAAAGCACAGATCATGCTGCTAGAAAATGTGGATTGTTTGCAGGTAACTGGCCAAGCTAAATATTCCCTCTTCCCCAAATAAAAATCAAAGAATAACAAATTTGTTTTAGAAAAAAATCACAACTTAACTTTTTTTTTTTAAAAAAATCCTCTTTTTATTGTTTGATCTTTTAGTTTTATAAATGGAAGGCATTGAATTTGGAGTACTTGGAAAAGTATCATGACAAAAGTGCTGCACGTAACAGGTTTGAATTAGTCATGAGGAAGAAAGCACTAGGGCTCAGCTAAACTTCATCCTTCCTTTTTGCAGTAGATCTAAGAGGCTTTCTCAGACTTATTCAACAATTTCACTGCTTAATGTTGCACAGTTGTGTATTGGGTTCGTGTGGCAAGGTTTTGGTAGTGGGGGGCTACAGGGGTGGTTTCTGTGAGAAGCTGCCAGAAGCTTCCCCCATGTCCGACAGAGCCAACGCCAGGCGGCTCCAAGTCAGAGCCAGCGCTGGCCAAGGCCGAGCCCAGCAGTGACGGCGGTGGTGCCTCGGGGAGAACGTGTTTAAGATGGGGAAAAAGCTGCTGCACAACAGCAGCCAGGAGAGAGGAGTGAGAAGGCGTGAGAGGAACAACTCTGCAGACACCGAGGTCCGAGCAGAAGGAGGGGAGGAGGTGCTGCAGGCGCCGGAGCAGAGATTCCCCCGCAGCCCGTGGTGCTGCCCGTGGGGAGGCAGCTGTGCCCTGCGCCCACGGAGGTGAAGGGTGGAGCCGATACCCACCCGCAGCCCGTGGGGGACCCCACGCCGGAGCAGGGGGTGCCCGAAGGAGCTGTGACCCCACGGGAAGCCCACGCTGGAGCAGGCTCCTGGCAGGACCGGTGGCCCCGTGGACTGAGCCCACGCCGAGGCAGGTTTGGTGGCAGGACTTGTGACCCCGTGGGGGACCCACGCTGGCGCAGTCTGTGCCTGAGGGACTGCACCCTGTGGGAGGGACCCACGCTGGAGCAGCTCGTGAAGAACTGCCTGTGGGAAGGACTCACGTTGGAGAAGTTCATGTTATGTCAAGTCTGCCGTGGCAGGGATCCCATGCTGGCGCAGGGGAAGTGTGAGAAGTCCTCCCCGGGAGGAGGAGGTAGCGACAGAAACAACTGTGATGAACTGACTGAAACCCCCATTCCCTGTCCCCCTGTACTGCTGACCAGGAGCAGATAGAGAAAATCAGGTGTAAATTTGAGGCCGTGAATAAGGGAGGGATGGGGAGAAGGTGATTTTTAATATTTGGTTCTATTTCTCATTATCCTACTCTGATTTGATTGATAATAAAGTAATTCTTCCCCAAGTCGAGTCTGGTTTGCCTGTGATGATACTTGGTGAGTGATCTCCCTGTCCTTCGCTCGACCTGTAAACCTTTCGTTACATTTTCTTTCCCCTGTCCAGCTGAGGAGGAGAGTGACTGAGCAGCTTTGGTGGGCACCTGGCATCTAGCCAGGGTCCACGCACCACAAGTTGTTTTTAAAGGATGGGCAGCACTTCTGAAAACAGATTTTTAGTCTAGCTCTCCTGCAACCCTTTACACCATCTAAGCTTTTAGTACAGTTTCAGAAAAAGCTATCTTACTTTAAATGTTAGGCAAGTTCACATATACAGCACTAACACAAGGCATTTAGACAGATCCCCTAGGATACTATTTACTAACAGACATTTTGAATTGTGAAGGAAACAAAGGTCTCATTTCCTGCAACCTGACTCTTAATTACCAGCCATATCGAGGCAATAGTCTTTTATATCATTTATTGAAAATGGAGGATATGTATGTAACGTGGATTGTAACCAACATGGTTTCAAGTTCTTAACATTCTGTTTTTTTCCACTCCACAATAATCTTTTTATCCAACATCCTTGTATGGAGGGACACAATCTCAGCAGAACATGGTTACAGGATACAAACTCACAGAAAAAGAAATGTGCACTCCCCTAATCCACTTTGTAAACTGCACCTCATTTGAAAAGCAGAAAAGATACTGTTATAGATCTAGTTTTGCAAAGAAGCAAGGGAGTATCCTCTGGTGTTTCTGGATATTGTTCTTAAAAAGAGTGCTTCAAGTCCATGCATATGTTTTCAATTTTTTCAGTTCATCTGTATCTTCACTGTCAATGGTAGGTTGCATTACAAACTTAACTTTCAACAGCCTTTTTCAAAATACTTCTCACTGCAACACATAGATGCATCTCTTTGGAAATACCATTTGTAGCACATAGTGTAAAAACTGTTAAGTATCTAAGTGACTTAAGAGCTTGTTTTCAAAATTATTTAAGTGCTTAGGTGCTTACAACCTATTGAAAGAAATGTCATTTTTGCAGCGGTGGTTTTGATATGAAAATGGGCAAATGTGCAATTATTTTCCCTCTAGAAGATCCAGGGCAAAACGAATACCTGAAATGTCTAGACAGTTAACACTAGGATTAAATAACATGAATTTTGGCATGGAAACTTTCAAAAGCCTGATGAGGTGTACTATGTGCTAGTCACCACAATAGGTCTTGCAAATGTGAAAGTCAAACTACCTTCCCACAAGGGGCCTTAAAAGCACTACAGACCTATCTAGCAAAAGACTTTCTAGTAACCCTACTTACAGCAGAATAGATGTTAATAGCTCAGCTGGAACAACCCACACTTCTGTACTTCAAGTTCACAAGACTTTCTCTACTGCATTAAAATATTTAACATTTCAGCAATCTTGCCCATTTCACCTCCAAGTGGGTTGAAAACAAAATCTGTGAAACTGGGTAGGGAGAAAAACACATGCACACACCAGAAAAAAACCCAAACAAACAAAACAAAGCGACCAACACACCCACCGCACAGGATGGAACAGAATTCACAGAATCACAAAATCAGCTAGGTTGGAAAAGACCTTGAAGATCATCCAGTCCAACCATTAACCTAACACTGACAGTTCCCAACTACACTAGATCCCTCAGCGCTATGTCAGCTCTATTCTTAAACACCTCCAGGGATGGGGACTCCACCACCTCCCTGGGCAGCCCATTCCAACCTCTTCTCCAGAACCACCATGGCATGACAATCAAAGGGAGAGGTGTTTCACTGCATATAATAAAATGTGCATCAGGTCACAGAAAATGAGACTGGATAAAAAGACCCTTATTAAAGGCTCCTCCACTTTCACACTGCGAGTGATCCTAACACCCTCAAACGGCTGCTGCCAGTCTCAGCAGTTATACTACCAAGCTATGAGCTAATAATCATAACCATCCTTTTTTTATTTATATTAACTGGAATTTACTCTGACACTCATTCTCGCCATTACCTTCAGAGTCTCCTTAATCATCTCAGCTTAGCAACCCACTTGAAGTCAGACACTGCAGCCCTTTGTAAGCAGGGCTTAGATGAATGTCTAAGTGAAATCAGAAAACAAAAATTCTAATTTGTAATGGACACTTCAAGAAGGGGCAGAGATGGATAATGGTGGTAACTCAGAAAAAAATAATCTATTAGGCTCACAGGCAATCCCATAAATTTGCTGAAATGGACACAATAAAATTTCTCAAAGAGTTAAGTGATGCAATACACAGAATTAAAGGACAGACACCACAGACATTCTACAGAAAGTTAAGAGGAAGAAAGTTTACTGGGAAGTCAACAGTGAGATCTCCTCCTTAGCTAATTAACTTAAAGAAATGTCTTCCTACAAAGTGGTTTGAAAATTTGCAGAAAGCCAATGAATTTGTTATCCTAACCTCTTAAATATTACGGGACCACTCACATGCAATTTTTCATGTGTACCCTTTGTGTACTGTGAGTGGAAGGTATTACACTTCCATTAATTCGTGTATTTTTAGCATTAAACCTAT